AAAAATGTGTACGTTCCTCTCCACAAAGTATGTAAAAGACACAGATATTTCAAACTAAGTGTAGCATCTTAGATAGTAATTGTATCCATATGAATGAAATTAAAATGCTCACCTTGTTTAGAGCCTTTTGATAACTGGCTCTAAGTATGTAAACCTAGTGTCAATTTGTGGGGTGACACTGCCCCTTCCCTGGAATCACTTGTGCAGGATACAGTTGAATAGTTAAAAAAGGGAACATTTATTGCTATATATATATATATATATATATATATATATATAAATACTATAAAAATATACTTCTAGAAAATAAAAAACAAATATATATAAAAACAGTACAGTGCAAATGTTTGTGGTCTAAAAAGTGGACTTATATTTTATATTTGGGTCAGGGGGAGACTATTCATGCACAGGGCTAGGTTTATCTACTCTTTGGTTTTGCATTCAAGTGTCCAGGGAAATACTGTGTGATTCGGAAGGTTAACCCGTTACTCACCACAATACTGTTGCAGCCACACAGGGAAGGTGCTGAGGAAGTAGGAGACGATGGCAGCTGCTTCGAGAGCACTTGCCTAAGGTTTTTGGACATAATATATATAGATCCTTAAAAAATGTATATTTGCTACCCTAGGCCTCGTTGACCTTGTGATACATACATTATGAGAGCTTATTGCAGAATCCTCCAGCATTTCAACAAACATAGGAACTTAAAGGATTTTTTATTGTTTAGTATTTTTCTAGTTTTAAAGTCTAGTGTATCCACTAAGCAATGAGTTCCACTGGTTATCAACTCATTGTTTAATGGATATACCTCATAGTTAAGTACTTACTGTCTCAAGAGAAAATAGCACTTTTATAATTCCCCTTTGTGAAACTTCCTGTCTGTAAAGATGGTAGCTGGTAGAGTGTCCTGCTTCACTACCGTTTCAAGAGAAAATAGCACTTTTATAATTCCCCTTCGTGAAACTTCCTGTCTGTAAAGAAAGTAGCTGGTAGGGTGTCCTGCTTCACTACCGTTTCAAGAGAAAATAGCACTTTTATAATTCCCCTTCGTGAAACTTCCTGTCTGTAAAGAAAGTAGCTGGTAGGGTGTCCTGCTTCACTACCGTTTCAAGAGAAAATAGCACTTTTATAATTCCCCTTTGTGAAACTTCCTGTCTGTAAAGAAGGTAGCTGATAGAGTGTCCTGTTTCACTTCCGTTTCCAGAGAAAATAGCACTTTTATAATTCCCCTTTGTAAAACTTCCTATCTGTAAAGAAGATAGCTCGTAGGGTGTCCTGCTTCACTAAATTTAAACTGTAGTTCAAAGCAGAAGTGAGTGTTTTTGTAAAGATGCACTGGTTTCAATGATGCACTGGTTTCTTTATAAGAAGCATTGTTGACCGATCATGAGGATTACCACCCTTGCACTGTTGTTTCCAATGCTTTATTATGATACACTTCTAACTGGACATCAGGAAGCAGATTAAAATTGCAGTGAGGGTGTGTGGCAGAAATGCCTCTGGAACGTGTTCTTGGAGAGGCCTGCTTGCCACCTCCTGCCAAAAGACTATGGGCCCTTTATGGTCCCTGACATATGTACTTTTGTTCTCCAGAAAGAGAGACTGATCATTAGCCCTAATTCCCTGGAACTGTTTTGGGCATAGGACCATGTGCACGGCCGGTCAAAATGATGACTTCCATGGAAACCCCGAACCAATCTGGGTGATTTTTGGATATGTTGGTCCCCCAGATCATGGGACGTGACTTTTGTGGGGTTTCCATGTGTTTTGGGGGTACTTTTGGGGTGTTGTTAAAATGTATGTTTTTTGTGCCTGGAGATAATTGAGTTTAGTACAGTTCCTGACTCAATTATCTCTGAGGCATGAGGAAGGGATTATCCTGTTTTGTGTGGGAGTGTCCTGGACCTGAGAGCCAATGCAATTACAGTGTGTACTTTGTCACCGTACCCTCTCAGGTTCAGTGGGGAATGCCCCTGGAATTTGTTATGGAAACCCCTTTCAGAAGGAAATTGCATATAAGGCCAGTTGTGACTGCCATTAAACAGTTCTACTTTACCCTCGACACAGAGCCTTGTCTTATGCTTGTAGGGAACAGCTATAATAGCTATAACAGCTATATCACTAGCTCTAAGAGCTATCCTGCTATACTCCCTGGAGTACTGGAAGCTGGATCCCTGACTTGGGTCCAGGGTGGGTGGAGGACAGCGAAACCCCAGCCAAGCTGAGGCAGCTAAGGGTCTACAGTGCTGACTGTGTCTGGTGGAGTGCTTGGACGTACTCGGTGTTACTAGGAAGCAGTGATTGGCAGAGGCAGGGTAGCAGGCATCCGCCACAGGGTGGTCTCCAGGAGCTGGAATAAAAAGGAGTTTAAAAAAAATAACTTTATTTAAATTTGACAAGCAGAATGTGATACAAAAGTTCTGAGCATGAATTACAGGCAGGATACAAAGGCACAAATATACAGTTAGGTATGGAAATGGTTGGACACTGACATAATATTCATAATTTTGGCTCTGTCGACCACCACAATGAATTTGAAATGAAACAACCAAGATGCAATTGAAGTGAGACTTTCAACTTTAATTGAAGGGGTTGAATAAAACTATTGCATGAAATGTTTAGGAATTGCAACCATTTTCATACACAGTCCACTTATTTCAGAGGATCAAATGTAATTGGACAAATGAACACAATTAGAGTTGAGCGGACACCTGGATGTTCGGGTCCGGCGGTTTCGGCCGAACTTTGAAAAAAAGTCCGGGTTCGGGATCGAACTTGACCCCGAACCTGAACCACATTGAAGTCAATGGGGACCCGGACTTTTGGCTACAAAAATGCCTCTAAAAAAGTCCTGGAAAGGGCTAGAGGGCTGCAAAAGGAAGTAAAATGGGGGTAAGAGTAGGACAAGTGCCCTGCAAACAAATGTGGATAGGGAAATCACTAAAAATAACATAAAAATTTAAAATACAGCTGAGCCATAAAATAGCACTGGATTGGAATCTTTGATTTTAGCTTTGGAAGAACATAAATCAAAATCTAAAGCATGGCTCTCAGGAGGATCAACAGAATTATCCATTTGAGAGAGGGTTGGAGTGCAGGGTATTCTCTTTCATTGTTCAAACTGAGCTCAACTGATGCATGGAGAAAAGGCCTTCACAAGCCTCTGCTATTGTGTACATAGTTTATACTAAGTGACCTATAGGTTGAGGAGGCGGTGACCGTGGCGATGTAGGTTGGAGCAGCGGTGGAGGAGAAGGAGGTAGCCAAACAGTTTTTTTATATATATATATTTTATTTTAATTGGGGTAGCCCCCAAAATATTGGGACATATAAAAAAAGAAACATTTGCGGCCTGCGGTGCATTTCTTGCAGTCCTGTTGCATGGAGAAATGCTCAACTCCTGATGCATGGAGAAAAGGCCTTCACAAGCCTCTGCTATTGTGTACATAGTTTATACTAAGTGACCCATAGGTTGAGGAGGCGGTGACCATGGCAGTGTAGGTGGAAGCGGCGGTGGAGGAGGAGGTAGCCAAGACTGTTTTTTATATATATATATATATTTTTTTTTTTTAAATTGGGGTAGCCCCCAAAATATTGGGACATATAAAAAAAGAAAACTCTGTTCTGCAGAGCGACTGACCCATGCGTGCTGCAGCTGAAACTCCACTATTGCCTGCTGCTGCTCACACAGTCTCATGAGGCGGTGAGGTAGAAGGCCAAAGTTACACTGCAGCGCAGACAGGCGAGCAGCAGCAGGGTGAGAACGCCAAAAGCGCGCACAGATGGCCCGCACTTTCTACAGCAGCTCTGATATATCTGGGTAGTTTTTAAGGAATTTCTGCACCACCAAATTCAGCACATGCGCCAGGCAAGGGACGTGCGTCAAACCGGCAAGGCCCAAAGCTGCTACGAGATTTCGCCCATTATCACACACCACCAGGCCGGGCTTGAGGCTCAGGGGCAACAACCACTCATCGGTCTGTTGTTCCATGCCAGTCCACAGCTCCTGTGCGGTGTGGGTTTTTCCCCCAAACATATGAGTTTTAAAACAGCCTGCTGTCATTTCCCTCTGGCTGTGCTGAAGTTGGTGGTGAAGGTGTTACGCTGACTGGATGAGGAGGTGGTAAAGGAGGAGGAAGCGGAGTAGGAGGAGGAGGCAACAGGAGGCAAGGCTGTGTACCCAAATAAAGATTGTCAAACGTTGTATCCTGGAACTGTGTCCCATTCGGTTACTGGGGAAATGGGTCTGACCTATTCTAATCAAAGGGGATAACCATCGGTTACCCAGGTCCCGCTTCAATTGGTGGCAAGCGGTGGGATCCCATGTCCCTGCCAACAAACCCATGGACTACAGTGCTCTAAAGCGACCTACAGTGCAGGACTTGTGTGGAGCCAGAGGAATAACACCTGGTGGGCGTAACAAGGCCTAATTGACTGCTGCACTCATGGAGGCCGACCAAGAATGCAGAGCGGCAACGAACCCCAGACAGGGGCCAGAGATGAGGAGGAAGTGTGCAAGGAGGTGTAACGGCACCTGGCATATTACCGAGAGCCACCCTCAGAGGAGATTGTCAGCAGGACCTTTTTGGAGGTGCAAGCCTATGTTCTTGCCAATAGACAGAGGGCGACTTCCATGAACCCAGATGAAGGAAGAAGGGCGCTGGGAAGCACAAAAACCCCAGCCCACAAGCTACCATACAATGCCTTCAAAGAGTTCAAGGAAGCAGAAGAAGATCAATGACTTTTTACAAGACTTTGAGCCTACCCCAGCAACTGGGTCACCATCCTGGCCAGCAAACTAGTGGGGAAGGCAGCAGATATTTACCGGGCTGTACCAGAAGAGCAGATCAGAGACTATCCCTTTATTACCCAAATCCTCCTGGCCCACTATGCGGTCACCCCCGAGCAATACCGCCGAAAGTTTAGGGAGACCAGGAAAGAGGAGAAGGACTCCCATACAGAGTGGGCATACCGCATCACAAGGGCCACCCAGAACTGACTCAACTCCCATTAAGCCAAGTTCCTGGAGGAGATCACTAAGCTCGTCATGCTAGAGCACTTTTTCAATGGGCTACCCAATGATAAGGCGCATTTGTATGTCATCCATATAAACTTTCGATGCCATTTACTGCGCCTACCATGATGACCATGGGTAACGGGGAATCAGGGTTCGATTCCGGAGAGGGAGCCTGAGAAACGGCTACCACATGTAAGGAAGGCAACGGGCGCACAAATGACCCACTCCCGACGTGGGAAGGTAGTGACGACAAATAACAATACAGGACTCTTTAGAGGGCCTGTAATTGTAATGAGTCCACTTGAAATTCTTTAACTATGATCAATTGGAGGGCAAGTCTGGTGTAGAGCGACTGACCTGTGCGTGCTGCAGCTGAAACTCCACTATCACCTGCTGCTGCTCGCACAGTCTCTCCAGCATGTGCAAGGTGGAGTTCCACCTTGTGAGCACGTCGCATATGAGACAGTAAGCAGGAAGGCCAAAGTTACACTGCAGTGCAGACAGGCGAGCAGCAGCAGGGTGAAAACACCGAAAGCGCGCACAGACGCTGCAGTGAATGTCACATCCTGTTCCAAGTTGTGGATCAGTCTGGTGATGGCTTTTGGTATCCAGTACTCTTTTTACTGAAGCTGCATCAGGGTCCTGGTATGTGGCCTCACAAACGCTGGTGCTCAACACCAGGGGGTGTGCGGTTACCTTGCTCCAGACCCTGCTAATCCATTCCACACTGTGACTCTTAACTTCAACATCGGGCATACTGGGTCCCAGTCGTCCGACCGCCCCCCCAGACAGTGTCTGGGTCCCGGTCACCAGACTGCGAAACTGCGAATGGCTCGTTAAATCTGTTATGGTTCTTTTTATCTCTTCAACTGTTACTTGGATAACTGTGAATTCTAAAGATAATACATGCCGACGAGCGCTAGGGGACCGCTCCCTCTTATGCTGTGCTGGTGCCTCTGTGTGACCAGCGCCTCTTACTCCAAACTGCACACGTCACTCGCATGACCTGGATTCCATGTGGGGTCTAGGACCTCATCATCCTCCACACCATCTTCCACCCACTCCTCAACCCTGCCCTCCTTGCCGGTCTGCACACTGCAGAAAGCCACAGCAGTTGGCACCTGTGTTTTTCCAGCATGTAAAGTCTGTAAAGGACATATGGAAATTTTTTAGAATTGTATCCAGGCGACAGTTTTCCCTGTAAACTGACCTCTCAGTGTGACTTGTGAGGGTATTGCCCCCGAATTACAATATTGTTATATTGGTATTTGACGGTTCTATTTGACTGTCAGATATGAAGTGCATTCCGCAAATGTACTATTTAGCACCCCAAAAAATTTGAATTGGTCAAACTGCGCTGTAACCGCAGTATTTGACGCTTCTATTTGACTCTCAGATATGAAGAGCATGCCCCAAATTTACTATTTAGCATATTACCACCCAGAAAATAAGTATGTTTCAAACTGCGCTGTAAGCGCAGTATTTGATGCTTCTATTTGATGCTCAGATATGAAGAGCACGCCCCAAATTTACTATTTAGCAGATTACCACCTAGAAAATAAGAATGTTTCAAACTGTGCTGTAAGTGCAGTATTTGATGCTTCTGTTTGACTTTCAGGTATGAAGAGCGCGCCCCAAATGTACTATTAAGCAGATTAGAACCCACAAAATAAGAATGTTTACAATTGCGCTATAACCGCACTATTTGACGCTTCTATTTGACTCTCAGATATGAAGAGCACGCCCCAAATTTACTATTTAGCAGTTTAGCACCAAAACAATTAGAATTTTTACAACTGCGCTGTAACCACAGTATTTGACGCTTCTATTTGACTCTCAGATATGAAGAGCATGCCCCAAATTTACTATTTAGCAGATTAGCACCCAGAAAATAAGAATGTTTACAATTGCGTTGTAACTGCACTATTTGACGCTTCTATTTGACTCTCAGATATGAAGTGCAGGGCCCAAATTTACTATTTAGCAGATTAGCATCCAGAAAATAAGAATGTTTACATTTGCGCTGTAACCGCACTATTTGACTCTCAGATATGAAGTGCACCCCACTATTGTACTTTTTAGCACCCAAAAAATTTTAAGTTTTAAAACTGCAATGTGACAGCAGTATTTGACGCTTCTATTTGACTCTCAGATATGAAGTGCACCCCACTATTGTACTTTTTAGCACCCAAAAATTTTTACGTTTTAAAACTGCAATGTGACAGCAGTATTTGACGCTTCTATATGAAGTGCACCCCACTAATGTACTATTTAGCACCAAAAAAAAAGACTTTTTAAAACTCCGATGTAACCGCAGTATTTGACGCTTCTATTTGACTCTCAGATATGAAGTGCAGAATTCTTTCCTTATCTGACCCTAACAGCTGCAGCATCCTCTCCCTACACTAATAAGAGCTCATGTGCATGTGGCGCTATGCGACTCCAGCTTATATACAGAGGCTGGGTCACATGCTGCACTGGCTGTGATGGCTTCTAAGGGCACATGAGTCAAACGCGCCATTAAATCGCCGAACACCGAATTCCAAACCGAACATACAGTCAGGGCCAGTGCAAGGATTTTTTGTGTGTGTGATGGATGTCAATCTCTTCTCCCCCCTCTCCCTCCCTTGTCCCTCTCTTCTCCCCCCTCCCTTGTCACTCTCTTCTCCCCCGTTGTCACTCTCTTCTCCGGGCGGCTGCAGCATGGGGGGCCGGCACTCCTGGTGGCGCCCCCTCCCAATGGGCGCCCTAGGCGGCTGCCTAGTCCGCCTTACAGGTCCGGGGTTCAAAAAACGTAATGTTCGATACGAACCCGAACTTTACAGTCCAGGTTCGCTCTAAATACAATCATAATTCTTGTTAATGTTTAATACTTTGTCGAGAATCCTTTGCACATAATGACTGCTTGAAGTCTGGAATGCATGGACAACCCCAAACAGTAGATTTCCTTCTTTGTGATGCTTTGCCAGGTCTTTACTGCAGCTGTTTTCATTTGTTGTTTGTTCATGGGTTTTCTGACTAAAGTTTTGTCTTTTGATATCAGATGATTTACTTGGCCATTGCAGAATATTCAACTTCTTTGCCTTAAAAAACTCCTGCATTGCTTTTGCAGTATGTTTTGGACCATTGTCCATCTGTAAAGTGAAGCACCATCCAATCAATTTGAATGAATCTGAGCGGACAATACAGCCCTATACACCTCATAATTTATTCAGCTGCTTATGTCTCATCATCAATAAACACTAGCGATCCAGTGTCTCTGCCTTGTTTTATAGATTATGTTATATGCTTCAGATCATGAGCCGTTCCAAGCCTTCTCCATACATTTTTCTTCCCATCATTCTAGTCCAGGTTGATCTTAGCATCTTCTGTCCAAAGAATGGTGTTCCAGAACTGGGATAGCATTTTTAGATTTTTTTTTGCAAAGTCTAAGCTGGCCTTTCTATTCTTGAGGCTTATGAATGGTTTGCACTTTGTATTTACTCTCTTGAAGTCTTCTCTTTATTGGTAGACTTGGATAATGATATGCCTACCTCTTGGGGAGTCTTCTTGATTTGAATGGATGTTGTGAAGGAGTTTTTCTTTACCATGGAAAGGATCATACAATCATCCACCACTATTTTTTTCCATGGACTTCCAGACCTTCGTATGTTGCAGAGCTCGCCAGTGCATTCTTTTTTTTCTCAGAATGTACCAAACTGTTGATTTGGCCACTTTTAATGTTCCTGCTATTCAACAGATTTTTTTAATGCAGCCTAAGGATGGCCTGTTTCACTTGCATTGAAAGCTCCTTTGACCGCATTACAAACAGTAAAACACTCCCAAGCATCATGTATCTGATGGAGATGGTGCTGGAGAGAAATGAAACAGCAGCTATAAGAAAAGGCTAATCTCTCTCTAATTTATGTTTTCATCTTTCAAGTAAATCCATAACCCCTAACAGCAGTGTCCATGGTAAAAGGGTGTGCCACTGACACAAATCACGTAACCTGCCAAAAGGGGCGTACATGTCCAAAAAGAGGACATGTCTGCTCAAAGAATTAGAAGGCCAGCCTGGCATGAATGCATGTCAGGCTGCCTGCCAATCATGCAGCTGGCCAACTAAGGGCATACTATGCAGACAGCACCCTGAGCTTGGCATAAATGCATCTAATGATGCGCTCACTCAATGTTTTCTAAGGACTGTCCCCTAGCACTCGCTAGTCCACTTGTCTCCTTACCTTCTTACTAGCAGGCAGAAGCTCCTGGTATATGGTCTGGGACAGAGAAAAGCTGTATGTAGTGAGTGTAGAAGAAAGGGAACATGCCACAGTGTTAGAGAGCCCAAAGTCAGCATTACCTTAAAGGATCACTATAGGGTCAGGAACACAAACATGAATTCATGACCCTATAGTGTTAACACCACCATCTAGCCCCCCTGGGCCCCTCATGTCTCCATAAATATAGCAAAATCTTACTATATTCAAGCTTGAAGCTGTAACTCTGCATGCTGTTAGACTCATAAAAACAAGCATTGAGACATGGGGACTCTGAGACACCAGGGCCACAGACACCAGGGACACTAGCTTGGAGACATGGGGGCATTGTGACACTTTAGGCAATGAGAGACATGGAGGCACTAGGAGACATGGGGACAGTAAGACACTGGCAGACTGGGAGACTAGGGGTCACTGGGAGACAAGGGGGCACTGAGACACCAGGGACACTGGCTGGGAGACATGGAGACACTGTGTCCCCATGTGTCTGTGTCATAATATCTCCCAATGCCCCTTAGTGTCTCAGTGTCTGCCATAATATCTCCCAGTGCCCCTTAGTGTCTGCTTAGTGTTTTTTTAAAAAAGTAAAAAAAAAAAAAAAAAGATTTTTTATTTTTTAAATCAATGGGCCTATTCCATGGGCCTGGGCCTGGAGCTGCAGCTCCATCAGCCCCTATGTTAATCCGGCCCTGCATATAGTATTGCAATTCTCAGGACATCATAAAGCACCCTCTCATATCAGCACAGGCATAATAGAACAACTACATACGTGGCGTACCAGGTGAAGGGCAGAGTAATAAATGTCCAACTCCTGCAGATGGTCATGGATTGTAATTGTGGTGGGAGCCATGTGATCCATTTCAAGTGCTAATAAGCCAGATGCAAACTTTGAGTGGAGTCTACTTACCCCTCAATAAACACACAATTTGAAGTGCTAAAAGGGAGTTTCATTGATTTTTAATAAAGTATTCCTTTGGTCCACAAAAGTAGCAAAACACAGAGAAAAATTTCAGAAAACTTTATTTCTTAATTGGCATGAATGTACATGGGATAATAAATATATTTGTTTTATGTTTATATACAATTACAACAAATGTATACATTCCATGTTCAAACGCAAAAGATTAATA